CTTGGCACAGCGTGCATACATGCTGCACCAAAAGGGTGCAAAAGAGCCGTGGCAGCAGCTCAAAGAGTGGCTTTTTGCTGCCCTGAAAACGAGTGGCTCTTTGGCAAAAAGGAGGATTATGGCCACAACCCTTTGAGCCACTGCCGCAGCTCTTTTCTGGGCCAGCCCTGGGAGTGGCAGATCCACCGCTCTCAGGGGCAGCCCAGAAAAGAGCCACAGTGACGGCTCAAAGGTTGACTTTTTGCCGCCCCCAAAAGGAGTGGCCCTTTGAGTTGCTCTTTTGGGGGCAGCAAAAAAGGAGGATTGGGACCACAACCCTTTGAGCTGCCACGGGAGCTCAAAGGCTAGCTTTTTGCCACCCCCAAAAGGACTGGTCCTTTGAGCCAAAAGGAGGATTGGGGCTGCAGCCTGTGGTTGCTGCAGCCCCGATCTGCTACTCTCAGGGGCGGCCCAGAAAAGCTGCCCCATCTGCATTGGCCCTATGTCTTATTTTCAGGGTATGGCCTATATTGTGCAAATGCTTACAAATCCTGCTACGGCTTATTTTATGGGTATGTCTTATTTTCGGGGAAACATGGTACCTATGACATTTGACACAATTAGCAGAGGCCAGTTAAAATTTCACTGGAAACCCATTCTGGCCCAGGTGCTGCTTGTTTGCCATTTTCTTGAGTAAGATCTCCACATCAGAAAGAGAAAATATGTTTCATCCCCCCCATCCCCCCCCAAAAGGAAAAATATGACATATGTGACTAATTCTTTTTCAGAGAATTCTGAAAAATGAAAAGCAAGACTAGCCTTCAGTTGAGATAAATAGTTGGTCCTCAGTCTTTTTTTTTTAAGCTTAAATATTGATGACTTCAAAACTGGATTAAAAGGTAAACAAAGCGGTCCTTGAATAAGAAGCCTCACTGAAGCAAAGGCTGAGATGCTGACTTTGAATATCTCAATTGAATATCTGAGTTGCACTTCATTAGATAGTCTCTCAACTGAGGTTGTTCAGACCACATGGAATTTACTCATGAGTGCACTCAGGACTGAGACTCTGAAAAAATACTATACACACTCTGAATGGAGTTTCAGTCTGACGTTTTTTTCTTCATTCAATATACTTAAATTATTGCACAGTTCTATTAAAAAATAAATAAAAGTACAGAACTCAGCACTCGGAATTCCTTGATGGAACCACTGGGACATTCGGTACACTGAGAGATATTTGTGTATATAGGCGTATGCAACGTATACAACACACTGACAGCCTCCTTCTTTTCATCTCTGAGTATATGCCTGAATAGAATTATTACTTCTGTGGCTCATTTGAATAATTCCCACATAAATTCCAGATGTTGACCACATGGGTTGCCTTAGTTGGTTGAGAAGGGGTGGGGCTGGGTGGTTTTTTGCTTGAATATTCATATTTACTTTTGATGCAGATGTTTGTAGTTGCACAGGAAAAAAAAGTACAAGTCCAATTCCCACTCCTCCAGTTTTTAAAAATTAATAGATATTCAAGGATCTGGGTATTTCAGACCTAGACAAAGTACCTTTGAAGCTAACATAGCTGATCCAGTCAAGAACAATGCACCATTTGAGGGAACACTAAACTTTAATATTCTGAACCAAGACTCCCATTCCATCATATTCCATATCCTATGCATTCAACAGAAGAATCTCCAAAAGAATCCTTATTATGATGAAACTCATGAGTGAGGCAACAATCCTCTTGGGCTGTTCCACCGGTGTAACTTCTGGTTGGCTCTGCTTTTGCATTAATTATAGACTTGTGTAATGAGGTATCTAGCATCATTCCACAAGTTGTTTCTCCATTCACACACAGTGCAATGGCATATGGGCACAAGTCTACCTTTTGATCCCATGACTGGGACTGCCTCTGCATGCCTTAGGAAGGAACTACCCTGTCATTGCTTCTATCCATGTAAGTGTGCTGGTAGAACTTTACTCTCCAATAGTTTACACTGGATCTCAGCCTGAATTTAAGTGTCTTTTTACATCATCCCACACAGTGATAATCTCAGCATTGCATATTAATAATTACGCAGTGCTCCTCTATGTAACAATTCATCATCCTTCATTTATGATTTTTCCTGCAATGAGGCACTGCATAGAGGAAACATTTTCCAAACTTTTTCTGCTCATTGCCATAATGGCTTTAGTGGTCACAGTCATGCTTTAATAATCTTGTAGGCCACAAAGGAATTTATAAAGGAAGGAAGGAAGGAAGGAAGGAAGGAAGGAAGGAAGGAAGGAAGGAAGGAAGGAAGGATAATACCTGACTAGTAAACACCACAGGCACTAGCTGAGAGGGGCTGCAACAATCTTAAGCCACATCCATGGAACTGTATTTCCCTGTATATGAAGTCCAAGTTTTGAAAGCTTTGGGGGAAAGCTTTCTCTGGATCCCATGATTATCACAGGCATGTTTGATGAGAGTCTTCTTGGTAGCTGTTGCCAGGTTGCGGAATTTCCTCCCATGGGAGGTTTGGTTGATACCCTCTCACCTCTCCTTCCACTGATAAAGAACTTTTTATTTAGACCATCCTTTGGCTTATAATTCATGTGGCAATTGCTGTTGTTGTTATGTGCCTTCAAGTTGTTTCGGACTTATGGTGACCCTAAGTATAGCCTATTGTTTATTGTTTGTTTGTTTGTTTGTTTTTTCCAAGATTTGTTCAGAGGAGGTTTGCCATTGCCTTCCCTTGAGGTTGAGAGCATGTGATGTGCCCAAGGTCACACAGTGGGTTTCATGGCCAAGCGGGGAATTGAACCCTGGTCTCCAGAGTTGTAGTCCAACACTCAAACCACTATGCTACACTGGCTGTCCAGAAAGGACTTTTAATGAGGTTATGTATTTATGGTTCTATGTCTTACTGATGTTTTATATTGTTTTCATCTTCTATTTTTAGCTGAATGGCCATTTAATTTTTTTAACTTTTGTAGAATCTGTTTGTTTTACAATTGTCCCTTGCTATCTGTTGGGGGTCAGTTTTGGACTCCCCATCCCCCCTCCCGCAAAAGATTCAGGACCTCAAATCCTGTTCTTTCCTATGGCCACATGACATGAGTGTGCAGCCATTTAAAACAATGGGGCTTGTCATTTGCAGAAACTCAAATCTGAAAATGCCAAGCCCATGGATAAGAGGAACTCACTGTATTTTGTTTTTAAAATTCTTGTAAGCCACCTTGGATCCTGTACAATGTGAAAACTGGACTATTAATTATTTAATTAAGTTTTTGAGTGAGTATTAAAATCAACTTTTTTTTGCCCTTCTGGAGGGAGGAACCAAGGATACCCAAATACAGCCTAAAACAGATGAAAAATTGGCAAAACTCACTTGAGCAGAGATTTCAACAAGATAATGTACTTATGTACTGTTGGAAACAATGTTTGTTTCTGAACACAGGTTGAGGTTCTCCATGCACAAGAAGAAACACCTGCATTATAGGATTCACAGGTCCCATTTACATCACTTCTAATTTCTGTTAGACTTGGTGTTTATTACTACCTCCGAGCAACTGAGGTTGATAATTTTATGTGTCATGCTTGTTAACATCACCAGAGCCCACTTCTTGCAACATCCCCAGGAAATGACTATAGGTTTCAAGCTTTGACTCTGAAATCTCATGACTTGGGATGGTCCTGTCCCAGTGAAATCACCCTGAATGAGTGGGTTAGTTCAACTCAATATATTGCCCATCACCCCAAACTGTGGGTTTCAAAGCCTAATCCTGTGCAGATTTATTGGAAAGTGAATCACACTGAGTCAAGTGGAGTACATAGGACTGCAGCCTTAAAAGTCTAATATGATGGCTGCAGCATCATCACTTTTCTTTTGTATCCAATAAGCTGATTTCTGCTAGTCATTAAGTAGGTGTGGAAAATTTTCCTCATAGTCATGAACAACCCCTTTTTTCATATAGCATCAACCCACAATTTCTCCAAAATAAAAGGAAGAAGCACAACCAACATGTCAACTGAAGGCTGTACCATTAATTAAGTTCTGCTTTACTAATTTTCCTCTGTGAATCACTGCAGGGAAGTTCTTTTCATGATTCATCAATCAAATGTGGTGTCCAGAAGGACAGTTTTTGTTCTAAAGAAAAGGTGGGGACACAGTATGGCCTCTGAGCTGCAAGTTTTTAGCCCTCAAAATGGGCCAATCACTTCCCAGAAGTCCTTAAGGGAGTTTTTTTTAATCCAAGCAAATTGATAATATAATTATTGCAATATGTCAAATACAGTAATACATCATCACATGAAATGATCTATGAATAATATATCTATGTATCTATACATTATAGAACCAGCATGATGTAGTGGTTTGAGCGTTGGACTGTGGCTCTGCAAACCAGGGCTCAAAAACCTGCTCAGCAATGGAAACTCACTGGGTGACCTTGGGCAAGTCACACTCTCTAACCCTCAGAGGAAGGCATAGGAAAACACTCTCTGAACAAATTTTGCCAAGAAAAATCC